TGGGGAAGGGGATGTTGATCAAAGGAAATAGCATTACAGTGACATAGGAGGACAATGTTTATAAATCTATTTGATGATAGAGAGAATAGAGTTAATATCAATGTCTTATCATCTTTAAGATCCAGAGCAGATGCTAACGTGTTCTTACTATAAAAATAATTGTTTAGCATAGACATACGTCTTTGTTAATCATCCAGTGTCAGCACTTCATAATGTATACATTTTCAAAGATAATATTTTGTAAGAATTAATACTTTTTTAAAGATTTATTTATTTATTATGTATACAGTGTTCTGCCTGCATATATGTCTACATGCTAGAAGAGGTCACCAGATCTCATTATAGATGGCTCTGAGCCACCATGTAGTTGCTGGGAATTGAACTCAGGACCTCTGGAAGAGTAACCAGTGTTCTTACCCTCTGAGCCATCTCACCAGTCTAGGAATTAATAAAAATTTTTTAATGCTTTAAAATTTCAGAATTTGAAATTGAAAAAAAAAGAAACTTAAAATATAAAATACTGAAATGCAGGAATATGATTATTCAATGGAATCTGACACTCCTGCCCACTCTGTGAACTGCTAAATACTGTTGACTAGTCCCTGGCAACAATGATGTAGAAATATTCAAACAACAATGAATGAATATATCATCAATGAGAACTATCCAAGGAATGTGACTTTATCATGTCTGTTAACACTACAGACAACAGAAGAATACTATGTTTTCTTACTATGTAGTGAATATATATATATATATATATATCTGAATTAATTACTCTAATAGATGGCAGGTATTAATACATTAGATCAGCCTTCACTATTTAAAAATCTTTCAATGTGGAGAAGAACTGGAAAGATAAATCAAACAAAATAACAGTTCTCAATTAGTCTCAAACAGATTTGAATTCATAATACTGGGGGTGGGGCTTATCTCTATATGAAGATATACTTAATATGTGATAAAGAAAAATGTGCTGACTCCATGAAGAAACTACTAACTTTTATCCTTAACCTTGCTTTATCGTCCATTTAAATATAAGGCACATCCCAGTATTTATTCCTAAAGTTTCACTTCCAGAAAAGAGAAGAGCACTATGCAAACAAATATCTTGTATCCCAATAAGCAGGTGGTAGGCAGCCCTAAGAAGGTGTGGGTGCAAAATGATGATGAGACAAAGGCGCAGAAGGTAGGAAAAACATAATGATGGAGAAAATACTGCTTACGTATCTTAGGGCTAAAGGACTGTGATGAATTGCTGAACAATTTTATTCGAGTAGAGTCTTATCAAAGCATCATTTATCAGTATCTTTTCCTAAACTGGGACATTTTCCCAATCAATTAAACAGCTAAACTTCTATTACTTTAGCTGAAAAAATAGTCCATTATTATTTGTCTTTATTTCATTTTTCCCCATGACAGAGCTTGAAGACCACTCTTCCATTGCCACTAGTGTTGTTAGACTTACAAAAGCAGTGACAGCCATAAAAAACTTAGGCTCCACTGACATTAATATAAAAAAAATACCCTTCTTTGATCCCAACATGATCCCACATAGCCCTTCAATCTTTATGTTGTCATGAGAACTGAGGAGTAAGTAAACCACCCCGATCATCCACCAAGAATTTGTGGGAGGTTGGGGAGTTTTGTTCGTTTACTTGTTTTTCCATTTGCCATTTCATGGGCTGAGCTCTTGGACTGAATGAACAGAAGAAAAACCAGTGGAGCACTATCAGGCAAGCATCTATTCACTGTGCTGTGCTCTTGACGGTGGGTGTAAAGTGAAGAGCTGAATGGCAGCCATGCTGACTGCATGAGGGGATATCTCATAGCAGTTTTCATATGCATTTTTCTGATGTTTGCTGATGTTAAAAGTTTTAAAAATAGTTATTAGCCATCTGTGCTTCCTTTTTTCTCTTTCTTAATTTATTTATTTAAAAAAGTTTTTTTTTTTTAATTTCACATACCAGTCACAGTTCCTCCTCCCTCCCTTTCTCCTGCTCTCCACTTCCCCCACTCCCACCCCTAACCACTCCTCAGAGAAGATAAAGCCTCTCTTGGGGAATCAGCAAGGTCTAGAATACTAAGTTGAGGTAGGATCAAGCCTCCTCTCCTTGTGTCAAGGCTGAGCAAGATATCCCATCCTAGGGAATGTGTTGCAAAACATGTGCTTCTTCCAAACTATCTGTCCCATTACCTACATATTGGCTAGCAGTTTTATTTCTTAGTATTTACTTTTTACACTTCTTTGTAATTTCTCAATATCAGCCCCTTCTCTTAAGGACAGCTCATAAAGAATATCTCCAAGTGAAAGGGTTCTACTAACTGTTTCTTTATCTGTTCAGGAATATTTCGATTTCAAGTAGTCCTATCTGTTGATTCTTGGAGCTGGGTCCTGGGCTACTGGAGTTTGGCTCAAGAAGATCCTGCCTATTTTTTTGGTGTCTTCCAGAGCATTGCCTATGTTTTCCTCTTGTGGTATCAGCATTTCATGTGATAAATTTTTGATCTTCTTCAAATTGATTTTTTGTAGAAGGTGAAAGGAATGGTAGGCTCTAATTTTTTTCCTGTGCATAGATATATATCCAGCTATGTTTGTACCACTTGTAGACTAGGCTATCTTTTTTTCCACTGCCTATTTCTGTCATCTTTGTCAAGAATTAGGTGTACATGGATTTTTCCATTTATTTCCAGGTCCTCCATTAAGATGCACTGAACTGCGTGTGCTTGTGCCATTTAAGGTTGTCATCATTACTATAGCTCTGTAATGTAATGAAGTCAGATATTAGGTCCCTCAGGCTGTGTTCTTTCCTCTCAGGATTGATTTAGCTATTTGTGGTTCTTTATAAATTTTTGGATTTTTTTAGATGTATTAAATTTGACATCAGAATTTTGATGGATATTTCATTAAATCCATAGTGGGCTTAAATAATCTAACTCATTAACTTAAATCACTGTTCATATTTGTACTAAAAAAAAAGTTTTTGTCATGAGTGGCATCCTCTAAGATGTGAAGTTTATATTATTCTGGTTGCTTCATTTAGGTCCCCATTCACCCTTGTGGTGAGCATAGATCGCCATGCATCAATAACCATCCAAAGTGTTGTAAGGATGGTAGATTTCAGAGTTAATAATGCTAAACAGGCAAAAGCATCATGGCTATTTCACTGAGGCTAATATACAGTCAATAAGAAGCACCATTATTTAGGTAGCACTAAGGAAGAAGAGATGATGCCATTGAAAGCAATTTCCACTTCTTGCATATAGTTTCACTTTGGAGAGTATTTACTGTAAGAGAGACCATAGATGGTATACCATTATGATCTTGTTTGCTTAAAAAGCATATGTGAACTGTAGCTGTTAAAATGCCATTAAAACTTTTTCATAGTCTCTAGTCTGAAACTTTTCAACTTAACAGTTTAAGTATATAGGTATGTATGTTTGTGTGTGTGAATGTTTTCCACGCATTATCCTCTAACATAAATATATACCACATTATAATGTATAAATAAATGTATACAGAGTTTATGTAATTTCCTTTTTTGCTCTACTGTATTTATTTTCCCATACGGCTTCTCTAACATCTATTTTCAGAAATCAAATTGTACTAATTTAGGAGAGATTGTTTACATAGCAAGTATTTTATACTGACAACCTTTACTAAAGTAAGAAAATAAAATAGTATTTTGGTGCTTCATTTCAAAAACATTTGGCTACTATAATGAATATGAGTAGGGCAAATTTATGATGGACTCTGGAAATGTACTTTTTATTCTGAGTTTTGTGTTATAATGTTTCCCAGACTTGTCCTCACCCTAATCCTTGGAACCTGTGACTGAGTTGTAGTGTGCAGCTAGAGAGAATTGAGGGTGCAAATAGATGATGCTCACTAATTACCTAAGACTGACTGAGATGAGGGGACTGTCATAAAAATTATAACTGAGCACAAAGCAGTCATAAATATCCTTTCAAGAAAGATTAACTTCATACTTTCATAAAGAATCGTGTTAATAATTAGTAGGCATCTACTATCTTAGTTTCATAAAACCAAGTTTGTTTATTTATTGGTTGATTGGTTAGTTTCACAATTTTTTGGTGAAGAAAGTGGCTTGATATAGTCAAGTCCTAGTGAGTAGAACATTTTACTCCCAGGAGTTTATACTTTTAAAAAAATTCTATCATGTTGGCAGGCTGGAAACCTTTCTTACTACAATTGAAAAGGAGGGATACACACAAATATTTCTGAGAGTACTCTTGATTGGATGAATCACAAATTGGTTAATCTGTCAGGCTACCTTTCAAGAGACTAGAGGATAATATTACCATGAACTTATTCAGCAAGAACTATTGCTAGTAATCAGATACCAAGCCACTTTCTGACAGTGGTAATTAATAATGCAGGTTTGTTTGTTGGCTGGCTAAATTATCAGACTGTGTGCTTTCTATTTCAAAGGCATCTTTTAGACGAATAAACATGAAACAGCCTATCACAGAGTGTGTCATCCAACACCACACAATCTAATGATTTGTGGAAAGAAGATTCTCACTCGTCTTAAAAATTAATTTTGCTTGTAAACTCCGTTAAAAAAGATAGACATGGAATGAGAGGTGAGGAAATACTGCATTAGTTTTGAAAGCTTTCATTTCATGTGTTGTCAAAGGGGCTAGGAACGTACTAAGCAATAGAAATATTTAATTCAACTCAAGAAAGCAATCTCGCTGGAAATTAGCTTCTACCTCTTCTCTCATTAGCAGTCTGTGTCATCACAATGATATGTGCCTTCAGACTCAAAGATGAGGAGAGAGAAAGAGACTAGCCATCCGCTAAAATCCTCACTGACCAAGCACAGCAGTGAATATCCATATAAACCCCCTAAGTGGGGCCAAGGTTGGGGGTTGCAGAAGTGAGTCCCAGAAGTGAATTTCTAGCTGTGTGTATGTGCCTCCTAGCAACTGTTTCCGTAGTTACGCAAAACATTGCACTGTCTCTCCACCTTTGTTTCCCCTCTCATTAAGCATAATTTTACTCAACAGCAAAGACTAATAAAGCAGAACCTTTTCATGAACTCTGGATTTCTGTGAATGCCTTTGGCATTTTCTCAGTATAGCCAGCTTCTATAACAATTGCACATTCATAGTGAGCAATCTGAGTGGCTAAAAAAGGTAATTATTTCTTTTTTTATTATTATTACAGTGGGTCAATTAAGGGAAATGTAGAACTGCAGCTTTTACAGATTTACTATAGAATCCAGTAGAAGGCCACATTGACCTGTCATATCTAAAAATTCATTCGGTACATCATAATATATTATACTAGAAGTAATAAGAGCTGTCTAGAAGGAAATAGTTTCATTTCTGGACTTTTAAAGTGGTAAAGATACGTGGTTCACTGTTATGTGGTAAAATAATCTGTTTAATACATAGTCTGTGTCATATAACTCATAGATTTAACAACAAATATATGTATATTTATACCATATATGTAAAAATAGACACAAATATATATATACATATATACATATACATATACAAATACATACACGCACACACATGCACACACACACACATATGCCCCCTTATTCACAAAGGTGTTTCCCCAAACCCCTAGTGGATGCTTGAAATCATGGACAAATGTAAACCCTATGCATAATAAATATACATACAAATATTAGAATATGTATTCTAATAAATTATATACATATACATTATGCATGATATACATTATGTATAATATATCATTTATTAGACATATATCCTAATGAATTTTGCATAATAAAAGGCTGACACCAATAATTGAAACTGTCTCTGATCCTTTCTGTTCATGCAAGAAATAAGTCAGTGATCAATATTTTCCTATTGCCTAATTTCATGTTTCTTCTCTAAACTCTTCACTCTTTGTTGAACATAATGTGTTCTGACCCTCATACATTTTGTCATTGACAGTCCCAAACAGTTCTGAGTCAGGAAGCACTTGATGTGTAGGACCCACTGCCATGGTAAGAGTTTGTGTACACCATGACAGTTTTTTTTTTTTTTTTTCACTCCTGAACTCTCCTCTTGGCAACTGCGTTTTATCAACACTAACTTGCTCCATGTTGCATAATTTAAAGTCTTCCTACTTGGGAGGTGACTTCTATCTAGTTCAATATCCTATGCTAGATTTGTTTCTGGATTACAATAGTTTAATATTCTGCCTTCTTCAGGGTGATATCTAAGTAAATCCCAACAAGGCTCAGCAGAAAGCATAATGGTAGACCCAAGAGTAACAAAAACAGCAATTAATTGTTTTGTGCCCTCATTGCCAAGCACTGTAATAAGTTCATTCATGTTCTTAGTTTGTTTCTGTCCTCTCCTCAGGAACCACTCACTTTTGTTCGTATCAATAGTCTCAAAGGGAAGACAATGGAGATTTAGTCAGGTAAAATTACCTACTCTGATTGCACAGCATGAAACAACTGACTCAGCATCAAAGTCCAAAACTTAAAATTCCAGATCACTTGTCTTGAACGTCAGTGTTATGCTTCCAGTCTCTTTTAATTCCCAAGCCTAGTTTTAATTAGTCATGTTGGATGCTTTGGCAATCTAATGATGTAGATTCCGAGACAATAAACTCATTGTTAGTTGAATCATGGTGTGGATTCCATCTAGTATATTTCAGCATATCAAATTTGCATATCAAATTTGACTGATACTCAATTTCCAGTCACCTTAGCTTTCAAGAAACCATTGGAGCTGAAGGATATGTTAGTATTATCCAATCTTTATATATAATATGCATATATAACAGGATCATTTTGACTCCATATTCCACAGAGTTAAAATTTGTCAACATTTAACTTTTAAAAGTGGAAGAAAAGTTAGAACCATAACAAATAAGTGATTATTGAGCCATGCTATTTGTTTATGATGAGTTAACATGAAAATAGTTTTTGTTACTGTTAAAATGATTCTGTCCAAACCATATTCCATGGTACAGAACATGTAATAATAATGATCAATGCTCCTACCTGGCTATGGGTAGATTCAGATTTGTGAAAGTTTTATCATTCTTGTAAATTCTTTTTTAAAGAACTGGCCTTTGTATTCAGTGAAGTGATATTTGGGAAACAATTTTGCAGCTCTGTTTCTCAGCTCCTTCCCCCTACTGGAAGTGTAGCTTTTAGGGCACATGTGAAATATTGGACTTGATTCTCATTATCACCTGCTAATTACCTACTGTGAAGAATGTGTTACCTGATAATTGACACATTGTAAAACATTGATCTATAATTTCCCTGAAAAACACAGGGATCAGTTTGAATGTCTTGTTTTAGTGACTAGGTTTTCACAAGACAGGGAAGTGTTTTAGGGCCAGCCAAAGGCCAAGAAAAATTCCTTATGCCAGAAAATAATACTTAGAGTCCTCATCCATTTTTCTTCTATGTATGACCGTGGCAGCTGATAACTTTTACATGGAAACACCAACAATGCAGTTAATTAAATAAATACATTCTAAGAAAATATTATGTCTCTTATGTCCTAATAGTCATAAGACTCTTTGTACTGAAAATATTTATGCCTCAATTAGCATGTAGTACAATTTCACATGCTTATAGTGAAAATTATTTGCTAAAGCCTGCCTATTTTATAAGCACTCAACTCCAAAAAGGCAGTAGCAACTTTAGAAAATCGTATCCTGCTTTTAAAATAAAAAAGGATCAAATCTATTTTAATAAAAATGTAAAGATTTGGAGATTATTAATTATACACTTAAACCATAAAACTTAGATTGCAGCATTTAAAGCAGTAAAAGTGCTATAATAATTATTGGAAAAAACAAAGATAAATTGCATTTAAGTTTGTATGGTTTTACTAATTTTCAGTCATGATTTATCCAGTTACTAAAGGTAGAGCTATAGCAATAAACAAAGGCCTTAGCCAAAATTCCTCATTATTTTTTATCAACTCAATGATTTAAATGTCTGAAATCTTGGAATAAACATCAGTCTTCCAACCAGAATATATGCCAAAGTTATCTGAATGAAAGAACATCCAACCCAGGACAACAGAAAACAAACTTCTTAAGTGCCACACTGAAACTTGGGGCTGTTGTTCCACTCTCGTCATCTGGTGGACGTGTATATTTATTTCAGGGTTAGATTCAGAACCTGCTTACAAAGATGACTGGGACCTTCAATGAATGTAAGAGGAAATTTCTTGCCAATTACAAATATATTCATTTCATAAAAATCTTTAAATGCTTTATGATTTGGTCATCACCCCCTATGTATAGGTGTTTTCAAGTCTACCCAATCTAAAATTATTCAGACAAGTGATCTTTCTGTTGTTACATTTTAATGTGTATTGGCATGGCCGTTTGTTGGAGAGCAACTTGATTGTTCATGCAAAATTTGAGATTTGATTTGTTTGGGTGGCTTGATCTGTTAGTGGGGCCCCTGGTAATGGGATCAGGACTTATCTATCGCAGGTGTATGAAGGCTTTTTGGAGCCCATTCCCTATAGTGGTATATCTTGCTTAGCCTTGATGCAGGGGTAGGGGGCTTGGTTCTGCCTCAACTTGGCATAGCAGACTTTGTTGACTCCACAAGGGAGACCTTACCCCCTCTGAGGAGTGGTTGAAAGTGGAATGGGAAAAGGTGGAGGTGTGGGAGAAGGGGACAGAGGGGGGAGTGAGGTTGGTATGTAAAATGAAAAAAGAGGAAAAATATAAATAAATAGATAAATTTAATAAAAACTGTGGCCCCAAGTTCATAACCAATGTTAATGCTGCAGACTGTATCATGCACAAGTGAGATGATCTGCTTCAGAAGACTAGCTTAAGGCAGGAGCAACAGAGTGTTGAGCATTCTAATTGCTAACTCGGTTTTGAGATCTTGATTACTCAGCTTTGGGATTATTGTCAGACTTGCTTTCAGTTAAACTGGCATGGTGCTTCAAAGTAGAAAACTTAAAAATTCACTACATCAATTCTTGAAATAAATTGAGGTTTGTTTTACAAACAGAATCATGAGCCAAAGAGAAATTTTTATATAGTTAAAGAGTAGAAATAACAGGTTCTGGAGAAGTCTTGTTTGTTTCTGTGTATTTTTTACATATGAAGCAACATCATTAGTGTTGTGTGTTTTATTTTTTTAACAATACTTCTTGAAAAATCTATGAGGTTCCCTAGGGACCAGTAAATACTTTGGCACTACATAGCAAAACAGTGTATGAGCTACTTACTGTTAGTCATACTAACCAACTCACTTAGGTTGCATAAGAAATGTATTTTTAAATAAAGTATGCAGATTACTATGTTAGTTTATTTTTCAGTTGATAAATTGACTTGAAATTATTGGAGTGAAATCACCGTTATACAAATTGGTATAAGAAATATAAATTCAAGATTTTATTTTGAGCTCCAAGTTTGAACCTTGTTGCCCTTGGGATGCTTATCTTTAGGTAATATTTTCCTTTTTTTTTAAACTACATTTTAATTTATGTGTAAGCATAATGTTTTCTGAAATGATATATATTTAGAGGAATATTTCATAGTAGATACTGTATTAACAAAAACGTTAATAAGGATAGGACAGAATGGATTTTAAAAATCAACATTTTCATAAAAGCTACTGGGCTGAAAAAGTAGGGTTAGAATTCTCTAGGTCTTCAGCCACCACCAATCTTCTCTTTGCATATTCCATGAAAGTCAAAATTCTGTAAAATGGACATGTAGGATTCAGAGATGCGCACACACTATTCACTAAGGACTCTGCCTTCAGCTGAAAAGTATTCCCACTTTTGTCTTGACTTCTTTTGCTGGGGAATGCAATCTCCTGAAGGCCTGGAAATGTCAACAACAAGAACAAAACGCTACCTACCTGCAATGCATAGAAACTGAACAGCGGTGAGAGCTTCGGAGGTCCTCATGTGCTCAGCAGAGGCTCCTGGACCACATCTGCACTGCAATGTCTCCTTTTCCCAGCATCATTTCCCTCACTTCCTTTCACAGGCATTGATCTCAAGGGTACTTCCTGTAAATTTTGACCACTAAGCTTTGAAAATGGTAAGTTTTCCAGATAACCCTTCCTCCAACTTGAGAGAGTACAAAAGAGATAACATCAGCAGGGCGGTCAGGAACTTCAGAAATTCTATTTGTTGATGAGCTACACAAACATGCTTACTTATACGATAGCATTTGAATCTTATTTTATCACAAAGATGTATGAAATAAATTAGTATATTAACTATCATGCCAATCAGGGCATTCAGCCCCAATCTCATTATGCCTTACCTTAATGGCTATATCTCATTAGATGAATTTAAATTAAGTCAAGGAATAGAAAGCAGAGTTCACAGAAAGACTAAATCACAACTTCAGTGGAAATGATATATTCCATGAGCCTCTTGGGTGGCTAACAATGTACAGCTGTGCATTTTCTCGAACTCCATCCTTTAAAATTGGCATTGATAGCTGTAGTTATAACAAGGAACGGCTTACATGAAGTTTGTGGTGGAAATACACTCACCTCACACACACACACACACACACACACACACACACACACACATAAGTAAAATGCTTTTGTAGAGGAATTGATAGGTGCCCTAATGAAACTAACAGAGGAACACAACAAGATGTAGGAAGACCATTCTATTCAGTGTCCACTTGAGCATGCACCAGTCACATGGTCTTGCTCCTCTTTCACCCTTCTTCTGTAGTTCAACGTGGCTTCTTTTGGCCACTTGTTCTGAACAGGATATTTGCCACAGAAGGAAGAGAATAAGTTTACCTGGGGTGAAGTGTCTCCACTCACTCTACTTGATGCAGGCCAGGTACTACTGCTTACCATAACAACCAAGTTGATTGCTCCACTAAAGAAAGGAATCACTGGCCATGGTTTACACTGTGTGACCATTTAATGGCCAAATGCTTCTTTGACTGGACTGCAAGCTAATAAAATTCAGCTGATGTAGATATCGTTCTATATAAATAAAACACTGATGGCCAGTGACCAGACAGGAAGTATAGGTGGGACAAGGAGAGAGGAGAATTGGGGAAACAGGAAGAAGCGGGAGAGACACTGCAACCACGACCAGGACAAGCAGCATGTGACGACGCCAGTAAGCCACCAGCCACATGGCAAGGTATAGATTTATAGAAATGGGTTAATTTAAGATATAAGAACAGTTAGCAAGAAGCCTGCCACAGCCATACAGTTTATAAGTAATATAAGCGTCTGAGTGATTATTTTATACTTGGATTGTGGGACTGCAGGGCTTGGTGGAACCTGGAGAGAAGCCCTCCAGCAACATTCAGCTTTGTCATTTTCGGTCAGTTTCTAATCCTAGTACCCAAGAGCAGCATCCGAACCAGAGCACAAACTTAATCAGCTGTGTGCTAGGGAGTAAAGTAAGGAACTAATAAGGAAACTCCAAGTAGTTTATCTGGTACCAGCCTAAAAAGAGGTTTATTTGGGGGTAAATTACAACCAATAAAGGGGTCTGTTAGAGGGTCTGGGAGAGGTGAGGTGCCGTCCAGCATGGTTCTCTGGAGAACTCTGACTCGGTCTGCAATCCAGCATCCTGGATCATGAGGTGCCAAGAGGGCTGGCATGTAAGCATCTTGGGTCTTAAGGGCTCCCATCTGGGCCCTGCTCTAGGGGCAGATAATAAATAGGCTTGCATGGCAGTTACCAGATGCCTTACTAGGGGCCATGCTTCAAGGTCAAAGCTGGATCTACCCACTACAAGGGAGTTTGTTAAATACCTGTAATACAAAACAATAAAGCAATATTAAAAGAGTCAGCCAGACTATGCACTTCTCTGTAGCCACAGTGCTCTTGGTGCAGAGACAGGAGGATCTCTGCAAGTTCATGAGTCAATCTGTCCATATTTCAAGTTTCCAGACCAAAAATCAAAATAAAGGCAGGGGGCTGCACAGTCTCAAAAAGCAAGCAAGCAAACAAACAAACAAACAAAAGCCAACAACTCTAACAACAAACACCCAAGGGTTATACCTCAATGGCCCATGGTATGTATATAGGGTGAATTACTACATCACAACAGACCTAAGGAGAATGATAAGCACTTGGTATTCACTATGAATTATTGTTAGGTTAGATTTTAATACTTCTCTTTAATATTAATTTGTTTGGTTTTCCAAACACTCTTTTCTTTTAAACAGGCTATCAGTCTGTAACTCTTGCTGGTTTGCAGGTGAACTGACGAGGAATCACTTGCTCTGCTCTGCTTCCCCAGGGCTGGCATTTAAAGCATGTGCCACTGTGCCACACCCAAACTACAAACTCTTAATTAAATTATATAACTATAATTGCAATTCAATGTTTCACTAGTGCCATAAAGTCCCTGCTTACCTTCTCTGTAGTTCATTATTTACTTACTCCATTTGGGCAGGTGTCCGAATTAGCAGTGGTTCAGGCAATTAAAGATGTATAAACTTACCCTTCAGATTTTAATTATTGTTTTATTGAGAGAAAATATAAATCAGTCATCTTTTTCTTTTCAATTGGATGTGGAAAAATATGCTGTTTTTAGGCTGCATAAATAAAATGAATTATGAAATTATCAGTTTTATATTTGTGTAGGAAGCATAAAATACAGAAGCTGCCAACCAGAGACATAAGTTATGAACTTTAATTTGTCCTACCTCCTTTCACTTGGTTTTTCTATGGTTTTTCGAGACAAGATTTCTCTGTGTAGCTTTGTGCCTTTCCTGGCACTCACTTTATAGACCAGGCTGGCTTTGAACTCACAGAGATCTTGCTTGCCTCTGCCTCCCGAGTGCTGGGATTGAAAGAGTGCGCCATCACCGCCTGGCTACCTCCTTTCACTTGTACACTGACTATATCTTTCAATGACCATGTCTTAGACATATTAGGTTTGTTATAGAACATACTTGGTTTTTTTTTTCACCTAAGAGCCAAGCACACTTTGTTCTTCACCATGTATACATACCAAGAAACATAGAATTATTATAGTATCATTCCAGATTGTAATATTTTCAATATAGTTCTCAAAGATTTTTTGTTGTTGTTTCCTAAGTCATCTTGGAAGTAAACTGTCTTTTTCTTTTCGTTTCTCTTGTTTTTGTGTGTGGTGTATGAAGAATCGGATGCAGTGCCTCTTTCATGCTACACATAAGGAGTTGGACCCATGCTCTGAATTCTTTCATTAGTGTCCAGCTGCAACCCTGCTCTGAAATTTTCTGTTTTCAAATGCCCAATGTAAACAAGCAAACAAACAAGGAGATTTTAAAGATACATGGTTTCTGTCGTGTGAGCATAGAACCTGTATAGAACATCTGTTTTTTCTTTTGACTGAAACTTAGACAATTGTGACTTCTTACAATGGCGAAACAAGCTTCCTTCAGAGGAAGAAACAGATGAGTGGATTGATTAATTTGATGAATAGGATTAGAAACTGAATGACAAAACATCACATAAAACTCAAGTCTAAATTGCTTACCCAGACCTGTGATGTAACTGAGCATCCAAAAGTGCTTACTGAGCAAGCATGAAGACTTTTGAGTTTGATCTCAGGGGAAAAAATGATTTAAAAAAAAGACAGACTCAGTGGTTCACATCTATAATCCCAGCACCCAGCAGTGAAAACCACAAAATGAGAGGAGGGAATTGGAGAACAACAGAGAAACCCAGGCCAGTAAGTTTAGTGTATTCAGCCTGGCAGAAGCAACAGAAACCTTGACTCTTCCACAACATGCTAATGGTGATTGTTGATGATGGTGGTGGTGGTGGTGATGATGATGATGATGATGATGATGATGATAAGGTTATATTTTTCCAAAGCTTTATTAATATGACAAGTATTCCATTCCATTTTTCCCTGAAAAAAAAAATCTTGAGATATTTGAGGAAAACTTTCTATACTCGATGTAAAACAAAATGAACAATTTGAGATAGGTAACCAGTTCCTTTGAGGAAGTATGATAGATTGTATTGTACTCCTCTTTTTTTGAAGCATTACTTGTATTCCGTGCTCTGTCCTCTAGGTGAGAAACAAGCACACTGGGAATTTATGAAAGCATCACTTCATTCTTTACGACTAACCTAAATTTAAGTGATATTTGGGTCTTTGCAATCATATGAAATTTGTCTGGATCTCAAGATCATTGTATGGAGAAACTCTGAAATGACAAAAAAAAAAGAAACACACACACACACACACACACACACACACACACACACACACACCCCACAATGTGTATACACTTTGCTTTTTACTCACGGTTCAATGTCCCATTAATGCTCTATTGAGGGGCAATATTGGATGCTTTGCATTCTTCTAGATCTTTAAAGTTATTTAGCATATTTGGAACACTTTCAGACTTTTTGGGTAAGTTTCTTGTAACTTGTGAGGATTGATAGCTTCAGAGACACAAGCTATCATGCTGTCTCTATTGCTTATCCATTGAGAAGTGATCATTCAGAAACCAGTTATCCTCGCCACTGACCTGAGAAAACTGTTTACAGAACTGAGTCCAAGAATGAGGGCTTAATAGCAGGTCAGCAACTCTTTTCTTTTGAGAATTCAGCTTAAGCCCTATTTTCTAGACATTGACTCAGTTTGAGAACATTAGTGTCCTGAAAGCTCCACTTAATATTTAAATCATCTGAAAATCCATCTCAATGCACCAAAAATATCTGACTTAAAGGACATTCACTAGGTAATGTGGGGAAAAGTGAATATCTCAATAATTGCATTGAATTATATGTACTGCTACAGAAATTTTGATACAGTTCTAATAGGTTTTTAAAGTCTTTTTTTAAAAAGTATGCTTGTATAATTCATTGTGTCTAAAACTGGCAGTTTTATGCTTTTTTGTTTTTGTTTACTTTTGAGATTGCAAATTAATTAAACCGTTTTCCTTTTCCTTCCTCAAAACTGCCCCTTAAAGTCTCATCCCTGGCATGGCAATAGAATACCAGCTGCACCCTTCTTTCCCCTCTGCCCAAATCTCCTGTGGATTCCATGGTTCATCCCCTTCTAACCTTTGTCCTCTGACAGGGTCCCTTTATC